GAGTGAATGAGTGAGTTAGTGAGTGGGTGAGTGGGTGGGTGGGTGGGTGAGTGGGTGGGTGGGTGAGTTAGTGGGTGAGTGAGTGGTTGAGTGACTCAGTGTGTGAGTGAGTGAATAGGTGGTGAGTGGATGAGTGAGTGAGTAAGTGGATGATTAAGTGAGTGGATAGGTAGGTGAGTGTGTAAGGGAATGGGTAGAGTGGGTGGGTGCGTGAATAGGTAAGTGGGTCAGTGGATGAGTGAATGCGTGGATGAGTGATTGAGTGGATGAGTGAGTGAGTGAGTGGATGAGTGAGTGAGTGAGTGGGTGAGTGGGTGGGTGAGTGGGTGGGTGAGTTGGTGGGTGAGTGGGTGGGTGAATGAATGGGTGAATGAGTGGGTGAGTGAGTAGGTGAGTGATTAGGTGAATGGGTGAGTGAGTGGATGAATGGTTGGCTGAGTGGGTGGGTGACTGAGTGGGTGAGTGAGTGAATATGTGAATAGGTGAGTGGATGAGTGAGTGAGCGAGTAAGTGGATGATTGAGTGAGTGGATAAGTGAGTGAGTGAATGGATACTTAAGTGAGTGGGTGCGTGAATGGGTAAATGAGTGATTGGATGAGTGAGTAAGTGGATGATTGAGTGAGTGGATAAGTGAGTGAGTGAATGGGTACTTAAGTGAGTGGGTGCGTGAATGGGTAAATGAGTGATTGGATGAGTGAATGAGTGGATGAGTGATTGAGTGGATGAGTGAGTGAGTGAGTGGATGAGTGAGTGAGTGAGTGGATGAGTGCGTGGATACGTGAGTGAGTGGGTGAGTGGAAGAGTGGGTGGGTGAGTGGGTGGGTAGGTGAGTGAATGCGTAGTGGGTGAGTGAGTGTGTAGTGACATAAGAAGGGAGGGGCTGCTGGGGGCTCTGGGATCCCGAGGGCGAGCATAGCCAGAGTAGAGTATCTAGAGTATCTAGGCTGTGTAGCTAGGCTGTGTACCTAGGCTGTAACAGAGTATCAGGACTGTAGGAGTGTTGTATTGTAATAAAGAAGTTACATCTACAAGTGTCTCTGGAACCCGTTACATTTGGCGTCAGAAGTGGCTATGGAGACAAGAAGTAAGCCACGTACCTTCAGTCCTGACGGCGATGAAGAGGAGCAGGCAGCGATGGGGCGGCCAACGCCGGCCGACAGCGACGCTGCACCGCCGGCCGACAACAACGCCGCACCGCCGGCTGAGCAGCTGTTTGCTTCGCCGACCGTCCCCTTTCCAGCGTCGGGAGCAGAGATGGAGGAGTCGCTGCTTCGCCTCGCAGAGCTGCTCTGCACCACCGCCTCCCTCCTGGGCGAGCTGCGGTGCTCGCGGCCGATGGCGGGAGAGAGAGAGGAGGCGCGGCGCTCGCCCGAGCCCGCCGCCGCCGCCATTCCCCCCACGGATGTGAGGGATACTTCCGGGAATGACATCACTTCCACCAGAGGAGCAGTGACCGCTGGGAGCGACGTCACTTCCGGGCACAGCGTGTGCCAACCCGACGACGCCGCGTCATCAGCGCTGCGTCCCTCACCGCCGGGTGACAGCTGTTGGCAACCTAGCATACCGCATCATCAGCGCTGCGACCGGACAGTGAGGGCGCCATTCTTACTGTAACCAGCGCCGGGGCCGGCACATCGACCGACACGCTGGTCGCCGCCTTTGCTGCTCTGGCCAAAGGTTGGAGGTCGGGAGACCAGGCCCCTGACACTTCGTACATTTTACGCGCTCCGGATTAATGATTTTTTTTTTATATTTTCTTCGTTGTCGTCGGGGAGTCGTGACTGTTGTTGGGTAAACTGTGTGGAGCTTCGCTCGTGAGTGTTGTCAATGTGTGTGCGAAACTTGCTTGTGATTGTTAACAATGTATGGTTTGTATTGAGCTTTGTTCGTGATTGTTAATGTATAGCTTGTGCTGTCATTGTTAACGATGTATATACTGTATGGGGCATTTATCTTGAGATGGTGAAAATGGACCAGCGGGTGTTGCGTGTCTAACACGAGAGTTGTGGTCCCGTCATGCTATGGCTGACGGCTTGACCTGACGGCCTGGAGGTTGAGACCCTCCGTGGTACGTCTGGAGCAGTAGGCTCGCCCTAACGGCCCGGAGATTGAAACACTCCGAGGCGCGTTGAAATAGTGGGCTGGAGATTCGTGGTGTTCAGGTGTAGTTGTCCCGTTACGTTGGGACTGTATCCCTCAGTTGTTAGGGTGCATGTTGTGCAGGGAGTGAACAATGGGTCGTCTCAGATCGGTCGGTACAGCTATATGCTGCGATGCGAATCTTGGAGAGAGGTTGGGTCTCAGATCGGTCGGTACAGATATATGCTGTGATGCGAGTCTTGGAGAGAGGTTGGGTCTCAGATCGGTCGGTACAGCTATATGCTGCGTTGCGAGTCTTGGAGAGAGGTTGGGTCTCAGATCGGTCGGTACAGCTATATGCTGTGATGCGAGTCTTGGAGAGAGACTGGGTTGAAGTCCCCTCCGATATGGCCGACGTGCCCGGTTTTAGGATGGAGACGCCACGTTGGAAAGGCGGGGGGTGCAAACGGTTGACATGTAATGTCGGTGGTGGTCCTCATTGAGGGCTGCTGGGACGCAAGCACGGGATGCCTTGGAGATGTGGTTCGCGTGTGCGGCCACCATTTATGGACAGGAGCAGGCAGATTTATTTTGGTTGTCATGTAAATTTTATATATATATTTAAAAATGTAGATACTGGAGCAGCCCTGAAGTGCGACTTCTTTGCCCAGTACATGGGTCGGCCCTGAAGTACGACTTCTCGACCCGGGACGTAGACAGATGTCCGGATAAGTGTGTGTAGAGGGATGCTCGACATGTTGGTCTTCGCCTTCTCTCCACCTGACTGATGGGAGGCTAGCAGAGTGGTGTGGATCCCTGCCATCCATGCGGTGGTTGTGTGATTTCGGTTCGATTACCGGTGTTGGTTGTGCATCCAACGCGTCAGAATCTGTATATTTGTTGTTGTTAATTCCCCGTTTTCTATGCGGATCCCGAGGAGGGCTAGGTGTGCCGCGGGTCATTTGTTCACGTGTCATTGCTTCACCTTCTTGTTGATTGATGCTTGTATATAGTGTAGAGTTGTACAGGTTGGTTATGGTTTTTATGGTTGCTTTCTTGTTCTCTTTTCTTTTCCTGTTGAGGCTCGCATATTTTTTTTCTCTCTCTCCCTTTCGTTAATTTAAACTTTCTAATTATTGACAGTCGGGACGGCTGGAGGCTACGTAGAGGGGGGTAATGTAGTGACATAAGAAGGGAGGGGCTGCTGGGGGCTCTGGGATCCCAGGCGAGTCCAGACGCTTAAGCCTCTGGGCGCCAGGCGCTGGGTTCCCAGGGGGTCCAGACGCTTAAGCCTCTGGGCGCCAGGCGTTGAGTTCCCAGGCGCTTAATCCCCTGGGCGCCGCCAACGGGGGGGGGGGGGCTGTGTGTGCTCTGTGGGATGTCTGGTGGCGCACACGGCCCCACCCCTCGTTGGACCAGGCATAAAAGGAGAGCTCCCTGGACGATCAGCCATCTGAAGACCCTGGGATGCTGTGAGAGCCAGTGGTGGGACTCTGGAACTCCCGACTCTACGACCTTGTGAGGGCGAGCGTAGCCAGAGTAGAGTATCTAGAGTATCTAGGCTGTGTAGCTAGGCTGTGTACCTAGGCTGTAACAGAGTATCAGGACTGTTGGAGTGTTGTATTGTAATAAAGAAGTTACATCTACAAGTGTCTCCGGAACCCGTTACAAGTGGGTAAATGGGTTAGTGGGTGAATGGGTGGATGAGTGGATGGATGAGTGGTTAAGTGAGTGGTTGGGTGAATGGGTGGGTGGTTGGTTGAGTGGGTGGGTGGGTGAGTAGGAGAGTTAGTTAGTGGGTGAGTGGGTGAGTGAGTGGGTGGATAAATAGGTGAGTAGTTGGTGAGTGGGTGGGTGGTTGAATGAGTGAGCAGATGAGTGAATGAGTGGTTAAGTGAGTGAGTGGATGAGTGAATGGATAAGTGAGTGAGTGGGTGATTGAGTGGGTGGGTGAATGTGTAGTGTTGTAAATAACAGATGAAGAAACTTATTTAAGGCACACACTGGTTTATTGTCTTTCTTCATACACAGTCCCTATACACACACAGAGGGATATGCGGTTCCCTCACCCGTAGCCTAAGGTACAGCCTCCGTACCTGGCAGGACCTATACACGGCTCTTGACGGCTAGCCTAGGGAGGGACATCCTCCTAACTGGCGGGGACTATTCTCCGTCTACCCGCTACCCTTGCGTCCTCCAGCTGGGACCTAGGGGAGGCTAGCTTGACCCACCGCTGGCTCGGTGGGTCCCCTGATCACAGGTCGTGCCAAGCCTTAGCAAGAGCTGGAAGGCTGGGGAGCCAGGGTCCTGCCTGCCAGGACCTATTCTCCCCTTGACCACTGGTAACACTGAACCTTAGCTCTTTGAAGAGGTGGAAGGCTTGGTCCAGGGTCCTAGCCATCTTGGGCTAGCTTGAGTATCTGTCTGAGGAGAACTGGCGGGCGCTCGCCCTTTTATACCCGTTTGTAATGGTCCTTATCCAATCCCATGCTCCTTCGTGCGACCCTCTGATTGGTTCTCTAGACTCTGTTTTCGATCCTCTGTTACCTTAACTGACCCTTGGCCGTTGGTATGGCGGGAAAGTGTATTTACGATCCACTCCCACCTTTCCCTGACCCCGGCCGTTGGTCCCAGAGTGGTAACACTGCATTTCCCCTCTCATTACATAATGCCCCGCAGGTTACCGAATAGAGTGTGTCTAAGCACCTCTACAAATGGATGATTGGGTGAGTGAAAAGTTGAGTGAGTGGGTAGGTGGGTGAGTAGATGAATGACTGAGTGAATTAGTGAGTGGATGAGAGAGTGAGTTGAGTGGGTGAGTGGGTGGGTGGATGAATAAGTGTCGTATTACTTTAAAATAATATGCTTGCAGTATTGGTACTAATAATAAAAGCAGTGGCAGAAGCAAATCATCATCTTACACATAACGTGGTACCACGCATATCGATGGTAGTAGTACACTGCTCCCGGCGTCGGTTCTCGCCCACGCGTAGAGGTCTCCGCTCGATGTTGCGGCACCCCGTCCTCGGCCACCGGTCGATATCTGATCAAACATCGCCCCCATTGATCGCCAAGAACAACCGGACCAGATGCTGACGTCTCTGTTGCCCCCAACGCCGATGAGGATCCCTCCGGGGGACGCCGAAACGTCCTTGAACGTGCTGCTGAATGGAGTGGAGCAGACTGCTGCTGTGGGGAGATAAAGATGGGTGGGCGGGTGGGTGAGTGAGTGAGTGGTTGATTGGATGGATGAGTGGGTGGGTGCATGAGTGGATGGATGAGTGGTGAAGTGAGCGGTTGGGTGAGTGGGTAGGTGAGTGGGTGAGTTGGTTTGTGAGTGTGTGAGAGGGTGGGTGAGTGAGTGGCACCTTCACCTCTATCACCACCCCCACCATCACCACCACCATCATCGTCACTACCATCACCAGCACACTCACCATTAACCTCTGTTGTAAAGATGAAGAGAGATCCCACCATCATCATCATCACCACCACCACTATCGCCACCATCATCAAAGACCTCAAGATTATTTTCCAGAAGGGGCTAGCCAGCTAAGTGATGGGAATGCTATCGATGTTCTAGAAGGGCTAGAGAATATTCTGACTTATAAAGATCCTTGCAATGCATGGAAATATATGTTAATTGTTTATGTTCATACTGAGTAAATATTAACAATTTAACCAAGGTCTCCAATAGCGCACGTACACAGACATTTGAACCTATACACACACGTAAGAATACAAAGACAAATATCCCCCGTCTTGCCTTAACAGCTTAAGGGGTTAGGCGCTGTTAGCGAGTAGCAAGCTGCCTCTGAAGGCTGTCGGCACTGTGGTACACACAGAGGGGGTGGGTGGCCAGCACCACGCACGTCTGACCGCCTTTGTCTTCCCAGTGGCGATGTTTACTACAGCACCACTTCATGGAGATGCTGAGTCGACTTAGGGGATGCCCAGTACAAATTCAGATAACACTGTGTATCAAAAAAATTGTTCCTGGGTAGTAAGTATTATTTCCTAATTGCTTATGCCTCGAATGTATATAAAATGCCTCTTATTTCCCACAAATTAAGCTTTTGTGACCAGGACATTGATCTTTTGAAAGGTAGCTATTTTCAATGAAAAAACGGGCGAAATTGTATATTTTCTTTCACATAGAGTCAGAAAAAATTGCAAATTTATCAAAATAAACATGTATTTATACTAAAGCAATACAAAAATGACTACAAAATATCGATTAGACACCAAGACGAACGACCACAGGCGAAACAGGCCACGACGGACTGATTTCTTTGTGGGGAGGAACAATCTCGAAAAACTACTCAATTCTAAATCTTTTGTAGTAATTGTCTCTACTTTTTAGGCATAGTCGATTACGAAATAACATTTATTAGGCCGTAAGGTGAACTAGGAAAAAGTGGCTAGAAAATGATTTTGGTTCCCACACCTGGGAACTACTTTTTAAATGATTTTCTTCATAGACAAAACCATTTTCGACTTTATGTTTAAAGTTCTCCGCAAAATACTCTGCAGTTTTTTTTTCAAAATCCATAAATGTATATAATTGTGAATTGGAAAAAACGAAAATCTTATGCTGCCGGTTTTGTTTGTAACTTTATTTATATACATTTTAGCAACACCAAATATCTCTCAAACTGACACTTATACATGTACCTAAACACTTGAGACAGGTTTTGGTGCATTATATACTCAAGTGTGAATGTAGACCATGAAATAGGGCACATTTGTAGAAAATATGCTTAAACTTCACGGATTGGCACTAAGCAAAATCAAACATAAACATTTTAAATTTAGCAAAACTGTGATGTTTTGTACATCAACATTTTCAGTAGGTACTGTGTAATCACAGAAAGATACAAATATAAGCACACTTTGGCCCAAGTTGGCTGAAATGACTCGACATGTTGCACTGTCCCCTTGTTTTGGAATGCTGCCAAAAAAATACAATTCTACCATAGATTATTTACAGCTCAAAATCACCTTAAATTATAACACAGCGCATAATTACTCATCGGTATCATCCCTATCACTATCAGAGCCATCATCCCATGTAGGTCTTTCTTCTGTTTTCTGTGAAACATTTGCACAATTTTGGCATCGACATAAATCAGTACAAGACAGTCTTGCAGACATATAGGAACATCTTCCAGTCTCACATTTGCTGTGCTTGCAACTGCAGTGGACTGCCTGAAACACACTTTCAGGAACAGGATTTCTAGTCATCCAGGTCACTGTTAACTCACCATCCTCGAGGTGCCATCCATTGCCAACGGGTGAAGGGGCACACATTATACCTTTCAGAGAATGTCTCATTATGGCTGCTTGGTAGTTTGCCCTTTTGCAGTGTTGGTACAGGGCGTCACTTGTCGGGGGCATGAATAGTTCTGGAAAAGCTGACGATGCCATAGAGAATGCTTTGTATCTTGCATCGTTGACATTTTCGGCAGATGACTGGCCATACAGGTGGCACATATGTGCAAAGTAGCTCAAAGGTAGACTGATCTAGGTTAAAACTGCTACCCAGATTTGTAAAAGCAGTCAGATATTCCTCTTTCTTACAAGCAACAGAAAATGCCTTTTGCTTTTGCCATAAAAGGCACTTGTAGAGTCACAACCTGAGAAGGTATGGATCCCAGTAAGTGCCAAACAGACACTTGTGCCGAGAGCTGACGACACCTTAGCTAAGTCAATGAGCCTTGTTTTGTTGCGAACCCCCGTGAAAAAATACAACCTACATGGTAAATCCGGCTGCAGACTTTAAGCAATCGCTGCCACATCAGTATCAGGGCTTTTGATGACTACAGTTTGATGTTCCTGTGCAGCATGTTGTGCATGTAAAAACACCCTGGTGTCACATTCCTCATGATCACATGTCAGATCTTCAACAGCACTGAGAGTATGTAAACCCTCCATTACAGTCACGCAGTGTACAAGCTTAAGTCATTTCCCACAGTGGTAAGATCAGCCTCTCGCCACACAACGTAGAGGAATTCTTCCAGTGCTTCTTTGTTTGTTCCATCTGATAGAAACTTTTCCATTGTGTTGGTGTCTTCTGATCCACTCCATAAATTTTCACCAGTTGTGTACCACCACCAGCTCTACGTGACCGTTCTAGGTTTTTAATACTCATGTTTGGATACTGGTCAATCACAAAGTCTATCCGTGTACAGTTGTGTTTCAGAGCAAGTTTGACTATGTACTGCAGTATGGTCTCTGCAAGCTCTCCAAAGGTACTTGGTATTGACCGAATGGCTTGAATGACAGAATTTCCCGCAGGTAAATTTTTCTACTTTGACCTATGACGAGTAATCTGGAGAATAGTTTCTTGTCGGCACGTAGAATCACTTCTTTGCCTGCTGCAGATTTCTTCTTTGTCTTTGCTTGGTCACTAAAGGTCTTCAGTTTTTGTGTTTTTATGGGAGCAAATATGTCAACTGATGATGATAAGAGTCTTTGGTCCATAAACTTTTTGACAGCATTTTCCCCCTTTTCTGGAGCTGCGAGCAAATACCACATGATTTCTTCAGCTGCTACTGTCCCAAAGCTATGACACATAATGCCATCTTGGTGTGTGTCAAAAGGATTCAGCATGGAATCTAGGGTGGAAATTATTCTGGTCACAGCCATTTCATCAGCATGAATTTGTGTGCTGTCAAGATCTTTTCGTTTCCTTATATCGGGAGATTTACCTGCCATTGCCTCACATTGTCTTGCTATGGCAGCCCTTTCATATTGTGACAATATCCAGCGATATACTGCAGCCCGATTCTGTGTTAACCCTGTCCAACCACCCTTTGTCTTGGAATCTCTGTTGCATGTTTGCTCAATGGCCTGGTCACAAAACAATCGAGGCAAATCCATGGACACTTTGACGTTGGGCAGTCCACTGGCCTTCAACACTGAGCTCACTGTGGCAAGAAGGATGTGTGAGGGGCAAATTGATCATTTCCAGCAAGTAAGAAGATAAATACCTAGCATAATTTACATGATCGTACGCAAAAAATCATGCCATCATCAAGCGCACTGTTGACAGATTCTCGTGTTGCTCTCACAAATAGAAGGGGTATCTGTACCATGTCGATGTATGAACTCCAGAAGGCAAACGTTGGGTTTTCTGCACTTCTTATTTTAACAAAGTCTTCATATTTCGATCACATTTTGTCAAATATCTCATTTGCACACAAAACAACCATTGTTCTGTCCGGGAATGCACATTTGATCTCATTGATGGCATCCAGACACTCATATCTCTCCTCTTGTGGCAGAGAATCTAAGAAGGTGAGAAGTCTCATGCATTGCAGACTCTCATACAGAAGTTTGTGTGCCCTCATGCTGCGGTTGTAATTATGACCACTGATCACTCCATTGATGGATCCTGGGGCAACAACTTTGGACTCAATGAGTATGTCTTGCAGTCCTGCATCTCCAAACCCTTTTCCTAGAATGCTCAGGTAGGACATGCATGTGTGAAATTGACCTAGTCTAATCACTTTACGCTGAATAAAGTCATCATCTTTCCAGCGGATTTGCTGAGCTTTGGCATATATAGCTTCGTCAAAAACTAACACTATATGGTCCAGTTCTAGCTGATTATAAATTTGGACACTTCGCTTCAGAATTCTGTCGGTGAAGCCTCAATGACTGGAAGAAAATACAGTTGTAATGCGAGCGTAAACGGCCTCGCGGATGTGACGTAACAGGTGGGAGGAGTTAAGGTCACGTGGGGAGGGGGAGAGCTTTTAAGGGCAGGAACCGGAAGGTCTGGAGGAGAGTGTGGGAATAAAGACAGGAGGAGGCCACGCAGGGCAGGAGTTGGAAAGTGGCGTGATCGCCACAGGTCGGGACTCGGCACCGTTGGCCAGCGGTGTCCGGGCACGGAGGAGACAGAGAGCCAGCAGCGGGGCTGCATAGAGAGCAGCCGTGGGGCTGCAGGTCAGAGGAAGAGAGGCTGAGTGGAGAGCCAGCAGCGGGGCTGCATAGAGAGCAGCCGTGGGGCTGCAGGTCGGAGGCAGAGAGGCTGTGTGAAGAGCCAGCAGCGGGGCTGCATAGTGAGCCAGCAGCAAGTCTGCAGGAGGGACGGCAGCAGTGGGGCTGCCGAGCGGGAGATGGAGGAGACTCTGAGCGAGACGCCGTGCAGGCAAGGTTGTATGAACCACAATAAAGGACAACGGAGACAGACCCAGTGCAAGAGTCCTTTATTACACTGGTGTCAGAAGTGAAACGGCATGTCAAAACAGCTCAGAAGAAAAAATATCCACGCACCATCGTCTGCTACATCTTCTGACGATGACGACCTTCCTCAGGCAGTGGCGCTGCCAACGATGGAGGGAGATATCGACGCGGGAACGAGTGGTGGCCCGGGAGTGCAAGAGGTCGCCGCTTCGGTGGATCCGCCCGCGCCGGGGGACGCTGACCAGCGATGGAGACAGATGGCGGCGCAGCTGGAGACTTTGAAGACCGTCTTGGAGCAACTGTGCGACCTCGTCACGCCGGCGATGGGTTCGGGGAGGCCCGGGGGGGACCAACAAACCAGGGCCTTGCCTGCG